CAATATGCTGTAGGTGCAACAGCTAATGCAGAATTGAATTCCTATCACATCTTTAAACATAAAAATAAACAAATCCTTGCATTCATAATGTTTAGATTTAATTGTATACCCTGTGCCTGGAGAAAAAGTTGGAAATGATTCAAAATCAAGTGTCACAGAGAAGACCAAATCCAATTTGTGTTCTCTAATGATGACGGTCTTGATACTCTTCATGCTCTTGTTTGAAAACGCCACCTCACACATCCTGTAATATCTTTTCTAAATAAAGCAATGGTCAAGAAGTACTCAAGCCTATTATACAAAAAGCAAAGCATGCCATTCTCTCCTAATTCTTTGCTATTTTCATCTGGCATTATTTTATAAAAATCCAAGAAACATATAGTCATGAGTTACTCAGATTCCATAGAAAGAATGACCAACATATAAACATAATTAAAACCAGCTTAATTTTTCCAAGAGCTGTATTTTTTTTCTTGCCCCAAAATACAACAGAACAGATTTGGAGAAACGTTAAGATAATAATAATATATCACCCATAATCCCACTACCTTAAATATTTTTGTATTGCTTGATATTGCCAGTATTTTATACAAAAGTAAAAGGAGATATCATCAAACATTTTGCATGTATTAACTTTGTGAATCATCACAACACCCTATGAGTGAGGTTCTGTTATTATCTTACAGATGGGGAACCTAAGGCACAGTGCAGTTGACTAACCTACCACAGGTCACACAGCTACTAAGTGAAGAGGCAGTGTTCAAACCAGGCAGCCTGGCTCTCCCGCAGTCATGGCCATGCTGATTCTGACTCTCAAATATTTACATAGCTCCATATTCAGTGTGCACATTATTTTATATCCTTTTATATTGATTTAACTTCATATAATAAACATCTTTCTAGGGCTTGGCATAGTCTAGTTTTTATGACTACCATTTTAACAGCTACATAACAGTTGTATATGCTCCATAACCTAGACTTTGGATGCTTCCTATATTTTTTCCCAGTAAGGAAAATGAGAGTGCTCAGAGTTGTACATAGACACATAATTTTTAAAAATGTGTTTAAATAAAATATTTTAATAAATATTCTCAACAGGCTAACGAGTTTCAACGGTATGCCCTTTATTGCTGTTTCCATACTGACTTTAAAGGAGCTGTACCAGTTTAGCATGGTACCAATGAAGAATGGATGAACCAGTTTCAGAGTGAACAGCATTGGATGGCCAACATGTTCTAATGTTTGCTACTTGAGTGGTTATGAACGGTCACTGCAAATTGCTTTGATTTGCACGTTTCCCATCATTACCTAATTTACCCTGAGGACACGACTCCCCTTGCAGCCCTCTCAAATTTGAGGTTTTTGTGGTTTTTTTTCCTCCCACATCCCTCTTCCCACTGGACCTGTAAGTGGTAAGCCCCTTTCCTCCTTTCTCAGTATGGTTTCTCCCCTACCTAAAATCTCCAATTTAGAATCTCACATCATCAAATTTTCTTACCAACCAGTCGTCATTTTGATCATGGTCTACAGATCCCTAGTATCATTTCCCATCCCGTTATTTCTCCACAGATACCTTTTGGATTAGTCACTTTTTCTTATACTACTCCTGCTTCATTTCTTGGCAATTCCAATAAATGTTTAGATGATTGTTTCAATACTCATTCTTATCAGCTCTGTGAACTCTTCCATGATCTCATATCTTTCTCCCAACCTCCGCAACTTGTTCCCATGGTCATCGTGAACAGTTACACACGATTTTCCATAATTGCTGTCTTTCTAATCATATCTTCTCATAACTATGTCAAGATCTATCTTTTGAAAGGAGATACTCTAATATATATGAGTGTATCATTAAAATAATACTTTTCTAAAACAGGAAAGTGATAGTAGTATATTTTTTATCATGATTGCTGCCCTACAGGGCACCTCTCCCATGATATGCTTGATGAAGGTTGTGATTCATTCAACACTGCTAAGCATACTCCACATGCTGAGGATAAGCAAGGCAACGGGAGGTTTTCATAAGAGGCTTTTATAAGCATATAATGGTCACATGATCACTTTGCCTTCTTCATATTACCCTCAGGGCAAACGGTCTAACAGCTGTTCAATTTCTTACAGATGCCTTTCTATAAGTGATTTTCCTAGGTTGTTCCACAGCCCCTTCTTTCCTCCCTCCCTCTCTTCTTTCCTTTTTTTCTTCCTTCTCTTACTCCTTTTCTTCTTCCATACTCATTAGTGAGATCATTATTCATATCACTAGAGAATAAAGTACTTTGAAGCAGCATATCTAATATTTTCATAATTTAAAATATATCTATTTTTAAGATTATAATATATGACATTCATAAAAAGTTGATGTAAAAACAAAGAGAGATGCAAATTCTAACATTTCCTTCTAGTATCTCCAGTAAACACTCTTGTATCACCCTTCACACATCCCACTTTAGAGGTAAGTCTTCTGTAGTACACAGGTCCTATTTCCATTGATTTTAGGAATCTCTCCACAAACAGAAAATTAAATAAGCTGTTGCAAAAAAGTGTGGATAGGGACATTAGGAGTTGAGGTCAGGATACCCACAGTATACTTTGTCCAGATAAGCACCCACACTCCCACTATATAATTTGCTTATGGAGACCCTGACCACCCATTTTCAGTTACATCCCTCATTCTTCAAACCTTCACAATTATAGAAGAGTTCAGTTTTTGCATGTTGGCAATTTACACTTCTGTGGTCTTCAGCATTGTACTGTGACAACAGATACCTGCATGACTGAGCACAACTTTGCATAGGGAAGGATCTTTTCATATTGACCACTCCAGTTATCGGTCATGTAATAGAATCTATTGAGGTTTCAAGGTGTTGCTTATCTGTGCAAGCTTCCCGTTGCCTTGCTTATCCTCAGCATGCAGTATTTGTGTTTCTGATTGGTGTTTGATCACTATTATTAACTGCCTGACCCAAGACTTTGTAAATGGGTTGGGCAGATCTAGTAGCAACAGAATTAGCATTCTAATGCTTCTAACATCCCACATGCTCCCCGCAGGCCAAGAGTGACAGAACATCCCTCGGTCACGGCCCAACTTTCTTCACATATGTTCTCCAAGGTCTCAGCTGCCCACCCTACTGCACTCTGCTCCATTTCCTCTTCCACACATTATTCTTTGGCAATCTTATCTTCTCCTTTGACTTCAGTCAGCATCTGTAGCCCTGGGCTTTATTACAGTTTCCTCTTTGACATCTTCCACATGGTTGCCATGCCAGAGACTCCAACTCACTGTGTCTAATAGCTTCTCCCCAAAACCTGCTACTGCTGCTTCTGGACTTTTTGCCTCAGCAAGTGGCACAGGCGTCTTTCCCAATCAGAAGACTCAACATGTAGGCTTTGTTTCATACATTCCTCTTTTTCACCTTTACAGACAATAGCCAACTTCTACCTTTAAAAACTTTCATGGAGAACCCCTTTCTATTATGCTAATAATAATAGTTAATTTTTTTTCTAACTTCCCTCTGGTACTATTGCTTTAAAACCCACATTTTTTTTGCTTCCACTCTCTCACTTTACAATTCAATTTCATGCACCTTTGCTGAAATACTTTACTAAACACCTATAGAATCATACTTCGCTTGAAAACTATTAAGAGATCTATGTTGCTTACAGAATTAAAATTTAAAATATCCAGGATATCATTTAAAAGCCTACAAAATGTTAACTCCTTTCTTCTTTCTGTCCTCATTGGTACAATTTTTTTATTACAGCTACGTGGGTCTACTCAATTACATTCTGAAATTATTTCTCCTAAACATCCACCTGTCCCAAGCTCACCCATTCTACCTAGCTTTATAAACTTCATTCCCCAAAAAGAAATCTCTGTATTCTCCTCTAGCAGTAGTTTGTAGGTAATTCGGTTTTTGATACCTCTGTTACACCCTCACCTGTATTAGGGTGATAGAGTAATCCTAATAAGGATATTAGAATTAGTTTCTTGGTTCTATTGGTATCTCTTCAACCAGGACTTGAAACTATGAGGTGGAAGAAAACACAACATATTATTCTTCGTCTTGTAATATGTAGTTCGTTTCCCCGTTTACAGACGTCCTGGAATGTTTTATTTTTTTAACCGTTGAATTGACTCTGGCTACCATTACACAAGTAGGTGAGGGGATACATATATAGGAGTTTCTGAGTACCCTTTCGTAAAACTTGTGCACATTATATTTGTATAGAAAATAGGGTCAGTGTTTACAATGAACTTGGCTCTACTATGCTTCTTGATTTCAGTGTTACAACAAAGACTGGATTAAAGGAGCAACAAACAACACATGTTACAAGAAGCATTCTTGTAATTTTCCAGTCAGAACTGAGTCATGCAAGAGTGACCATACAGATTTCACAATTAATTTAATGCAACTTTTAAAAGAATATAGAAATCCCAGGCATGAAGAAACACGAGCCACAGATATAGTCAAATGACTTCAGAAGTATTTCCAGGAAAACAAAAAGCCTGTCTTAATAAAATGCCAAGTCTGAAATCCCGTGAGATGCTTATAGCTGAAGCTTAATACAATAGGCCCATCAGTAAATTTATTCCTAGTCAACCAATGTTGCTAAAGCTTTAAAGAACAGAGAAATTAAAATGTGTTTTGCATGGGGAAGTTTTCCCCAGAGTTCCACATTTTTATATAGGAAATCAATTTGCATCACTGATGATCATTCAAATCGGATACCCCATAGTTGTTAGGAGGTAATGCAGTTTTATGCTGAAGCAATTTCATACTTGTTCTGATTTGTGATTTTCATTTTGTTTGTTAACAAAAAAAATTAACGAGCAATGTTACTAGAAATACAACTTATCAAACATTGGCATCATTAAAGAGGGTTGCCATATACCATGCATTATGATCATTGTGCAGCTGGTACCTGGACTTCTACAAAGGAAGAGCCATTAATCAGATAGCAGAGGCAAGATTTCAGGGTACAGATGCCCTTACACATACCTTTGCACTGATTTGTGTTTTTGTCAAGAATTGCCTTTGTAGATACAATTTTTCCATACCTGAAAGAGAGATGGAAAAAAACCCATGTTATTGTAATCCAGTGAAGACACTTAAAACACCCTAATGAATATCGGGGCACAAACAATTGAGCATGGATAAACCAAGGAAACAAGCTCTGAATTCCCATTTCACACCGGAGTGATTTCCTTTCACCAGTTCTTTGTAACTTAGGAATGTTCTTCTTTATGTAAGCAAAGCGTTGAGCTCCAAAAATAAACTTTTCAGCCTGTCACAGGCAGCCAAAAGAGGATCACATGTGATTGTGATCATAGTAACATGCACCCTGAGGATTCATGGAAGAAAGCATGGACCTAAGTGCTAGACTGAACAGGGTCTGCATCCAGCCTTGACTCTCACCCTATGTTGTAACTGTACACAGTTTAACCCAACTTCACGAAGACACAATTTCTTCATCTGTAAAAATGAGAAGCTAAATATATCAAATCTCCTGTTTCAATCAACCTTCATGTCTTTGGGAGTCCACTAAATTAGGCTTCAGGAGCAAGGTAATATAGTAGTTAAAATAATATACTGGGGCACCAAACTACCGTGGCTCAGATTCCAATTTAGCCAAATGGATATATACCTGGTTGGCTAAGTAAGTAGTATGTTCTCTTTGCATCATTTGATCATCTATAATGTTATTATAATGTTATAAATATATTTATTTAATTGTAGTGGATTATTTGTATTTGTAGTGATATAAATATTTTTTGTAATATATTATATTACAAATTATTTATATTATAATTATAATATAAATAATTTTCATAAGTATATAAGATTAGGTTAATTTTGTCTTCTTTACAGGGTCCTTGTGAAAGTAAAATGGGTTTACCTAATATGCTAAGGACAGTGGCTGCAACAGAGTAAGTGTTCATTCAATGTTAGCTTTTCTTTCAATGATCCTCTCCCTGCTATCAGCTATATAAAAGTATCTCCAGCTCTTGGCATTCTCTAAGAATGATTCGAAGTAGAAGGGGGTAAACACTCTGTCCTGAGAGTTTCAAACATTAGTAGACTGTCAAAATCATCCACCGAGAAAATTGAAAGGCGTAGTTATTTGCTAAAAGATAATATACATTTATGATTTACATTGCTAGTTTTAAATGTTAGGGATTTCATTATGTTCTCACTCTACCTAGTTGTATAGATACTCACCCGTTCAAAGCTATTTTGTTTGTTTCATATTATCAAAATGCCTGTTACCTCATGCCTATTGCCACACAAGATTATTCTCTTTAAAAACTCCCAATACCCCCTTTCTCATCTCCCCCAAAATACTCTTTTTGGAGCTCTATTTTATCCCAAGAGTTTCTCTGTTGGGAAAATAATCAGTAAAATAATATCATATCTGAACCGTCTCTTTACTAGACAATCATTCATGGTACCTACAATCAAACCCATTAACTAGCTGTAATGTTTACTAGGTTTGAGTTATTAAGGTAAATAAATATTTGCAAAATTATATGTATCTTAAAGTAGAAAATAAGAGACAAGAAAAGAAAATGCCACTACATCTTTTTTTTTCCATACCAAGCACCATTAATACAATATGTGAGAAGTAAAAATCAGAAAAAGAAAAAAAATTAGAACACGTGTAACTATCTTACACCAGGCACATAAACGCTTAAGACAAAAATCCTTCTTAATTGGTTTCTAAAGGTGTTCCTGAAACTTTTATATAAGAACCTTCTAAATTGAAATTTAGCTCTGTCTTAAATATGAAATTAAACATTGCTGTGTTCTATAGTGAATTACAACTCACAACTGGACTATCAACAATAGTCAAGGACATGCATATTGTCCTACTACATCGATATTACAAGAATGTCCTCTACTTCATTAAATATGTATATGTAGTCATTTTTACAGCAATAAAAAAGGTCAAATGTTTTCTTATGGAAAGCATTTGTGAGTATTTTGACAAGTAACTTTTTTATAAACAAAGAAAATGAATTTTACTTCTCAGAAATTATTACCCATTACTATAAATGGAAAATCACACACACCATCCAGAAAAGCAAACTGAGTTATTTCTTGACTTCCTCATTTTTAAACACTCTCTAGGCAAAACTTTCCAATAGCACAGAATCACAAAACAATGAAACACAACTCAGAGTACTTGACGCAATCTCTGCTATGACTGGAGTAATAGGAATTTCATTCCATGGCTCTGTTACAAGATTCTGCATTAACAATTAATTTGCAAAGCTAGAATATGCTTTAAACAACAAGAGAAGGTACTTAATGGGCCACTGGTTACAGTTCACGTCTAAACTCTCAGGATGACAAACAGATACTTTCTGCATGACTGTTCTGTATTCTCCATGATCTGCAAAGTCAACAACTGATGTAGGTAAATAAGGTTTAGATTTTTTTTAAAAAGATCAAACCACCATAAACACAAGACCCACAAATGTAATATACCTGTGAAATGATGTTTTTATCAAAGTATACTAACAGATCATAATGAAAACTATTCTACAGATTAAAAGTACACGATTTTATACACTCTGAAGGAAAATACAGATTTCTGAAGTAAAAAGTATTCCTTCATGTATATAACCTCTTACTCTTTCCCTTCTTAGAGTTTAGATTAAGACCTTAAGGCTTCATAAAGTTTTCCTTTAACTATGTCACCAACCAGTGGAAACAAAAATCTAATATTAGAGAAAATTATGAGACCAAATTCCTGAATAATGCCTGGAAATAGACACCTGAGCACTGGTCCCATGTGCCTGCTGGCTCTGGAAGCTTCAGACAAATCCAATTCACTTCTCTACCCTTTCATTTCCCACAGCTAGAGGAGATAAAATACTATCCACAGTCTACTTCCCTGGGGGTTTGAACTTCTCAGGGGAAACAAATAAATGAAATAAACATATTTTATGCTGTAATTCTTTCCATGTGGACCTTCCCTAGCTAAGGTAAAAAGCCCCCAATACAGCAATGTAAGGATGCTTTTTGGCATATAAATATGCAGCCCCATATCTACATATTCACCAACTATCCTGAGGGCTCATATATTCTACAAATATAGCCAGGACCCTAATAACATTTTCTTTATATTCTAAGAGTATGCTTTAAAAGAATCACTCTTCTACAGTAACTATTTGCTTATTGTAATTGAATTTTATAAATTTATATATTGTCTATCAACTCTTTAAAATACGTTTACCTTAGCTTGTCAATACAATTTTCATATTTAATTTTTTAAAAGAAATAGCCAGTTATTTTCTGGCATTTATTCTCAGTCTTAAACAGCATCTGAGTCAAACTATATTTGCTGATACACTTGATTATTCCACATACAAGCCTAATTTAAACTAATGGCATCTTTTATTTTCAAAGTTCAATAGAAAATAGAGCTATTATGGGTCTACTCTTCACGAATTATGAAGACATCAAATTGGTGGGATCTTTCAATAAAGAATTTATTTTTAAACCCTTTTGCTGAATCACCCACTGTGTATATTAATTCAGAAAATACAGGGAGAGACTGAAAATAGTCTCCGCAGTCAATTAACTCTCAGCTAACTCATTTTTCACATGCCTTCTATATTGATACCAGACTAGAAAAAGGTATCACATTTGTTTAATGGATGAAACATTATCCTTTTAGCAAATGTGGTTGTTTGCCTTCTTCTAGATGGCTCATTCATTCTTTGGCATTTGGGGATGGTAATGGAGCATATCTGTAGCTTTAGGGACCCAGCTGGAATGTGGTAGAGCTATCTTTCTATCTGATGGAATACATCAGCCAGGTTTCACCTACAAGTTTACAACCCATTTGTACTCTGAAGCATTAACAAGTTCAATCTACAAATGAGTCGTCACAGCCATGCATAATTGTTATGGACTGAATTTTGTCTCTTCAAAATTAATATGTTAAAACTGTAATCCCCACTACCTCAGAATGTGACTGTATTTGGAGATAGAGCCTTTTAAAGAGGTAATTAAGGTAAAATGAGGTTATGCCATAGGACCTAATCCAATATGATTATTGTCCTTATAGGCAGAGACAGGCACAAAATCACCATGTGAAGTCATAGAGAGAAGACAGCCATTTATAAGAAAAAGAGAGAGGCCTCAGAAGAAGCAACAGTACCAATACCTTGATCTCGTACTTCCCACTTCAAAACTGTGAGAAAATGCATGTTCACAAAGCCACCCAGTCTGTGGTACTTCATATGGCTGCCCTAACAAACTAACACAATAATCTTTTCTCCAAGGCCTCCTAAGCTTTGCAAAAGGGAACAGAGGTAAGAGGATTCATCAGGCAAGACTCCTTTTTAGAATGCTTTGCTCAGTGATTTTGTACTTGTCCCCTCCAAGCCTTTACCTAAGACCTGCAAACTCTTTCTCATCTAGCATCTGTGTATGACAACAGAAACCTAGAAGTATCAGAGCGTTGCAAAGAGCAGACAACAAAAAATCCAGAACCTGGACCTTGGTCTTGTCATCTGGGCAGTGTTTCTTTCCCCCAAGAGATAGCCAAACTCTGTAATCATGTCCACATCAAGTAAATTTTACATGTCTATTGTGCAAACTAAAATGTCTTTTATTAACATACTACTTGGGGTTAGTACCTTACAAAGAACACAGAATAAGACTATCCAGCTGGGAGATTTGAAGAAAAGTTAATAGAAGAGGAAGTGTTTGAAGAAGGGGCAATATGTTGTCAATGAGGAATGATTTTTATGTGTTTTAGAGATTAGAAAAACAATTGTTTTTAAAAAACATGCATCTTTTTTCAGGTCAGTGTATTACTACTTAGCAAATTACTATTTCCATGCTACAAATAGCTTCACCAGGAACCTAGGGCTATAAGAAGCATTTCGAGTTTGTACTCAAAAGGAAGTGGTTCTCAGTATCTAATGAGCAGCAGAGCCTCTTGTGGGGCTTATTAACACAGGTTGCTAGACTCTACCCACAGAAATCTGACTCAGTATATACAAGGTGGACCTGGAGGGTTTGCATTTCTAACAAAATCCCA